AAAATGATTAATGAATTTCAGTAAAATGAAATTAATTTCAAAATTGTTAGAAACATTTAAACAATTCCATTACCAATATGTATTTCATTTCGTATTTTGCTCAATTATAAATTTTTTAATTTATTATTCATCCATGCATTATAGTATAATAAAATGACAGAAAGGTTCTTTTTTCTCTTTTTTTTATAAAACTACGGCATTTAAATTTCAAAAAGATCAATGAAAATGATATAAATAATTGTATTTTCGAAAGTTATTGACTGACTAAAATAGTAATTAATAAATTCCCATCAAAAAATAAAAGCGAAATTAAATAAGTGGAACATAATCAAAAGAATAACGTACAACTTAAAAAATATTAATTAAATAATTAAATGATTAAAATCATATAAACAAATTTTAATTAAAAAAAATATAATAAAAGAAATGAAAATGATTTAAATAGTAATTTTAACCAATTTATTTTAATGTTAAATTAAAAAAAAAAAAAGCTTTTTGTTTATTATCTGTTTAATATTCAATTATTAACTCAAAATATAAAAAAAAAAAAAATTAATAACAACTGCAAATTAATGACAATTATGTGTGTTACAATCCATTAAATTCATTTAATTTTAAAAATAAACATGAAAGATGCCAAGGACTAAAGGCTAAAGGCTTATAAAATAAATAATTCAAAAGTTTTCCTTCATTTTCTCGTCTAACCTTTGTTAATTGTTAATTCATTAAATTTATATTTGTATGTTTGTGTACAAAAAGAAGAAAAGAAATGAAAATGAGAGAAGTTCGAATGAATTTCTTTCTGTTTTTGTGGTTACTATTTTAAGTGGAATGCACAGAAATTCTTTTCTTCTTTCAATAATAAAAAAAAGAAAAAAATGTATCTTAGACAGTGGCGAACGAATCACATTGTGCATGTGGTGTATGTGTATGTATGTATGTGTGTATGTGTGTGTCTATGTATACTTGTGCATATATATGCATGTATGTGTGTGTACGTCTACTACGTTCATGTATGTGTGATGTCTGTTTGTGTGCATATACCTGGTGCATGTCTATGTATGGGTGTGGTGTATGTCTATTTATACGTGTATGTGATGTATATCTCTGTTTACGCATGTGTACGTACATGTATATATGTGATGTATGTTTATGTATTGCATGTATGTGGTGTATGTCTATGTGTGTGTACTTATATGTATGTGATGTATGTGTATACATGTGGTGTATGTCTATTTATGAACATGTGTGTATGTGGTGTATGTCCATGTATGTGTGTACTTATATGTATGTGATGTATGTGTATACATGTGGTGTATGTCTATTTATGAACATGTGTGTATGTGGTGTATGTCCATGTATGTGTGTACTTATATGTATGTGATGTATGTGTATACATGTGGTGTATGTCTATTTATGAACATGTGTGTATGTGGTGTATGTCCATGTATGTGTGTGTATTGAGTTGACTGACTGAGAGAGAATCGCTAGCACTGAGTTATATACACAGCAATTCATTCATTCATTCATTCATTCATTCCCTAAGTGATGTCATATGGTTTAGCTGAAGAAATGAGATAATTGTGTTAATTTTAACATTTAATTCATCAATTATTCCACCAATAAATAATCACAAAAAGAGAAATAAAATCAAAATTAAATATTATTGCATTACTAATGCAATAATATTTAATTCTTTTTTTAAAAAATTATTTTATTAAATTATATATTATTCTACGAAAATCACATATAATTAAATGATGCATATTAATTCATTTTTATTTCAATATTAAAAATTTGAAGTACCATTCAGTATTTCTTTTCTATTTGAAATATTATCATAATTTATGTGTGATACTATTATAACATTAATTTTAAATTGCTTTTAAATTAATAAGCGTCAAAGAGGCGTAAAGAATGAAAAATGCTAATTTAGTTATTATTGAAAGAAAATTAGGACAAATATTTTGTTAATATCATCAAATTTTGCTTTTTTTTTTTTTTAAATTACATATCCAACTGCAAAATTTTAGTTTTTATGAATGAATTATCTGTGCAACACATTTACATCCATTAATATTGTTTCTTTTATTTTATTTTTTGAAATTATTCAAAATTTCATTCAGTCATCATCAAATCATTAGTACCATCCTAATGTCTGACACAAACCATTTTTAAATTTACATTTTTTTTTCCCTTTTTTTCCCTCTGTAATTTTGCCTTTTTGAAATGTGTACCTTTGTAATAATGAATCATTTTAATGGAAATCATATCCGGCATTTAGTTAAATATAAAATGCCTGACTTTTTTTTTTCGTTTTTTTTTTGGATGGGGGAGAGGGGGTAAAAAAATTACCCGTCTTTTCTGGAAGAATATAGAAAGAAGGAAAAAAAGTTTGGAGTATAGTTATAGAGATTATTTTTCCCAAATGAAACGACATTTCATTTGGGCGTGAAGGAAGAAAAAAAAAAAAGAAACAAATACCCGCTATTGTGAGAAAATTAACCTACCAAAGATACCACTCGATATTTGTAAGTGAGAAAATTACCTACCAAAAATAAGAGATATTTGTGAGTGAGAAAATTACCCATCAAAGATACCCGATATTTGTAAGTGGGAAAATTACCTACCAAAAATACGAGATAAAAATGTCTGTTATTATTTGAGTGTAGAAATAAAAAATAAAAATAAAAAGGTAAAAAATGTTCTCAAAAAAAAAAGTGTCCCAATAATCGGAAATAATTGATAATAGAAATGGAAATCGATAAGAACTTAATATCTTCCATTCATATTTGTTAATCTATGATTAAAAAGCATTAAAAACAAAATGGATAATCACATTTCTCGCATTTATTTAATATTCCATTTGTGGAAGAAAAAAAATTTTTTAATTGAAAAATTTAAATAAATTAAAATTATACTAAAATTAGTAATAAATGGAATTAAAAACAAAAATCATTAATTAATTAGAGAAAAAAAAATTTATTGCAAAAAAATCGTAACAAATTCCTATTTTGGTTTTTTTGGTTTTTTATTTTTGTTAATCAATTTGCCGGTCATTTCTTTTTCTTTTTTGACCTATTTGTTACGATTAAATAAAATTAGCAAAATTTCAAAGTTTCTTTTTTTCCTTTCAACAGCTAATAAACAATAACAAAAAGATAATAAACAATAATATCAACAACAGTAACAATAAATATTTGAAGAAACAATAAATAATAATGCTAATAAACAATAAATAGCAAATGTTTAAAATTAAGCAAACATTTTGTTAAATTTAGTTTTCTAAAAAAGAAAAAAAAGAATTGTATACATAATAACTGAAATTTTTGCATTCTACTTATTATTAGTTCATAAAATACAAAAATGATGACATTCTCGGCATTGTTATAATTTGATCTTTATTCTCGATATTTTATCATCAATAATTCTCGAGAATACACTAAAAAATGTTGACATTTTGGTATTTCTTATCAATGACCAATGATTGATTGATATTATTTACTGTTCGCTGTTTTCTGTTTTTCAATTTTGAAAATTATTATTTATTTGAAAGTTTTATTAACAAATGAATTTTCCACTTTTTTTTTAAAATTTGTTTCTTCTCATCAATTTCAATTAATAATGTAAAAAAGGAATAAATGAAAGAATGGAATAAAATGATTTTTATTAATTTGTATTTAAAAGAATTTTTTTTTTTTGATTTCGAATTTAATTTAAGCAAACTATTAATGATAATTGATTTGCGATCGTTCTTTTTTATTTTTTTTTTGAATGGATTTAAAGGTTTTTGCATTTTTCTTCCATAAACTTTTTACGCATATTTTTATTTTCCAATGCAATAATGAATAAAATTCCTGAAAAAAAGGCCACCAATTTAATTTATTCATTCATTTATCGGAAAAAAAAATATTTATGTAATAAAAACGAATTGAGATAATTTTAATTATATAAACTTATGCTAATTTCAAATTAGATTAAATTTAATCAATTTGAGTGAAACTGTTAGAAAATATTCGATCATGTTATTTTATATTTTTAATTTTTGACGCAGAAAAAAAAACATATTTTATATTTCCAATTTTTTGAATTTTTCAAGGAAAGACAAACAAGCAAATAAATAAACAAATAAACAGCAGACAAATAAATAAACAAACAAACAGATAAATGAACAAATAAACAAATAAATAAATAAACAAACAAACAAACAAATAAACAAACTTCAATATAATTGGTAATTCTGGTGCCTTATTAATATGTTTATGAAATAGTCCACGTCCGCCAGCAAATGAAATAAATCGAACGTTACGATTTGCTGATAATGCTGCATTATATAATTTTTTAGCTAATGATATTGATATTACTTCATCATCAACAACGTGCATTATTAATATGGGACACGTGACCCTGTAATTTATACACGTAAGTGCTAATATGAAATGTGTTAGCGTGTATCATTAACGTAAGTGTTATGTATAACTTATATGATCAAAGTAAAAATAAAAAAATTGATATTTCATTTTCTAATATAATATACAAAATTTAAATAAAAAATAAATGAAAAATTTGCATCACATATATAAGTAGTGATTTTCCGTCAATTGACGTTTCAGCTGTAAACTTACCATTTTTCCGTCAAAATTTTCTTCTAATTATCAAAACATACTAACATTTGTTTTTCTCTGTAAACTATTGTAGATCATTACGTTTACTCAAATTGTTACAAATTACGTTTTACGTTTACGAAGTTATTATAAATGAAAGTTTAATTATTATTAGATAAATTCAATCATTTTAAAATTTTAAGCATAATAATCAAATTTGAAATAAAAGTTAATCTAATTCAATTATTTAGAGATTTCAACAAATTTTTCGTAACAATTAAATTTCTGCAATAAATTTTTAAAACAATTGAAATCATTTCTGAGTTTACAACAAAAATTTGATAATAAATTAAATTTGAAGCAAAAAAAAAAAAAAAAAAAAATTGAAGTGAAATTTTACAATTTAATATTTATATCAGAATTGAAATGAATGCCAGCGTTTGAAACTGATTGTTTGATAAAAATATTAAACCATGGTGTCCAACGCCATGCTACTGATTCCGATGATTGTGTGATAAGATCAATGGCATTATTAAACGGTGCTTCCAAAATTAAACCTGCAGGTGGCATATGCTTCATACTTAATTCCATTGTTACTGCGATTGAAACTCTTTAAAATAATTTTAAATTTATGACAATACTTCATTAAAAGTTAAATAAGAGAGAAAATATTCATATTTATCAAACATTTTTCAATTATAATAAATTTTTGCGCTCTCTCTTTCTTTTCTTCTTAATAAAATATTCACTGATTAATTCTTATCAAAATTTAGTGATAACTTTTTAATAGGGATTTAATTTGATTAATGATTAATATAACTGATAAAAATAATCAAACAAAAATTGTTTGATATGATAAGTAATCATCGATAAAAATAGAAATATGAGAATTGCTCATTAATGAAATATAATTATATACATCAGTTTTTTTTTTTTTTTTCAATGATAATTTTCCATACATTCTTAATTATTTCAATTATTAGCTCATTTAAATTATTCCAAAAAAAAAATCTTTTTTATTTCAAAAATAAAAGATTTTTTTTCACTTCATTTTCTGAACTATAAACATTATTTTTAATGTTAAATTTATATGATTTTTATTTGTTATGGATTGATTAAACCCAATTAAAATTATTTTAATTAATAATAAAATTGAATTACTTGTATTTGGTCATAAGTCATTTACAATCTATTATAATTTTTTTCGTTTGTTTTAAATTAAAAAATCGATTAAAATAAAAAATTTGCCTACCCACTTCCCATTGAATGTCCCCATATAAAAACATCATTTTCACCGGCTAAATTTTTTGTATAATTAAATAAAAATACGGAATCAGTAATAATTCCGGTCTCATTTGGATAGCCACTTGAATCACCAAATCCTAAATTATAAATTTCTAAAGAATTGTTATAAATTAGCTATAAAATAAAATTTTGATGATAAAATTATTTCAATACTTCAATTTAAATCATTAAAAAGAAATGTTATTTGATTTACTGTAATTTAATTTTGAAGAAAAAAAAAACAAATTAATTAATGAATAAATGGGAACATCGTTATTACTTTCATTATTAATTCCTATTCTACAAAAAGAATTTCAATAATTCGAAGTCATTAATCCATGTAATTACAATCATATCAATTATTATCACTTTATCAGTTCTTACCGAAATATTTTTATCACTGTATTTAAATGTTTTATTTTTAAAAAAAGAAAAAAAAAAACCAAATAACCTCTATAATCTAAGCAAAGTACATGAAAATCCATTTCAGATAAAACATTATAAGTGTCCACTCGATTAGTCCATTGTCTAAAATGAAATAAATTTTTGGTAAAATTTAAAATTTAGATAAATTTTTTTGGCTATTTCATCTTTTATTTAATATTTGATAAAAAAGAAAAAAAAGAAAAAAAAGAAAAACGCAAATATTTGAATTTCGATCAAATATATTTTTAATGTTTTGTATTAAAAAAATACATTTTTGTTTTGTTTTTTTTTCCGTTTTTTAACTTCAAACTTTCCTCTTTTAAATTATTTTATTGCAAAATAATGAAAATGTTCAACGCTAACATTAAATTATATTTTTAATAATTATTTCCAAAATTTGCATTTTTTTAGTTTTTTTTTTTACATTTCTTCTTTTTAAAGAATGGACAAAAGAATTTTATTTCTACGATATAAATTGAATTTTTTGTGAAACAAAAAAAAACTAAAATTTATTTCTAAGATTTATTCAAAATTATTGAAATTGAATTTCAATTATTCATTACCGACTATGAGTACTGCCATGTAAATAAACAATGATTGTATAATTTTCGAGAGCTAACAATTTTTCCATTTCTTCATTTGATAAACTTTTCTGCTTTACCTTTTCAGACAATGTTTTCGGTAATATATGCCTATAATAAATAATAAAATTCAATAATTAATACTTTTTAAAAAAAAAAAAGTTTTTTATTTCTTTTAAAAGATAAAATAAATAAAACATATAAAAATAATAAGAAAATAAAATATAAAAAAAAAAATAAAATAATAAAAATAAATAAAACTTTTAAGTTTTCATTGTTAAAAACTACTAAAAAAATAATTTTTTTTTTTGTAAAAAAGGTTTAAATTTTTTTGCTAAAGTAATTAAAATTATATAAATCGTTTCCATATCTTTTTTGTTTAACGATTTCTTTTAAATAATAGAATACTATGAATAATTTTTAATTAAATATTTCAATTAAATGTTAGAGTATAAATGATAATAATTCGATTAGATAATAAAATATAAATGAAAATTTTTTGATTAAATATTTCAATTAAATGATAGAATATAATGATATTTTTTTGATTAAATATTTCAATTTCTTCTCAATATCATTCTTCTTTTTTTGTCGTTTGTTTCATTTTATGAAAAAAGTTTAAATTTAATTCCTTTTTTTTCGGAGTTCTTTATTCTATTATTATTTTACTAAACTTTAAAATGCTGTCGAAACAATTTAAATCACAAATTCATATCACAACAAATTTCTCACCAACATCCTAAACGTCCTGCTTCACCATTTAAATAAAAATTTCGTCCATATGAAATAACACCTTTCAATAAATTAAAATCATCGTAATCCTGTACTGAAATATATTTTTATGGTTAAAATTTAAAAAAAAAAAGGCTATATTATGTAATTTATAAAATGACAAATAAAAAAGAAAAAATATTTTAATTAATTTATGAAAAATTGTTTACTTAAGTAAGATTATATATTTTTATGGTTAAAATTTAAAAAAAGCTATATTATGTGATTTATAAAGTGACAAAAAAAAAAACTTTAATTTATACAAAATTGTTTAATTTAGTAAGAATCATAGATTTAAATTAATTTAGCATAAGTTTTTCAAAAAATGGTGCAACATTAAATTATCAAATTAGTTTCACATTTTATATTATATTATCTCCTTTTTCTTTTTTTTTTTTTAAATTATCATTTGCTTCTTAAGATATTTAATAGATTAACAATTAAAATAGCTAGTTTTTTTTTTCTTTTTAAAAAAAAAATTTAAAAAATATATATTTCAACGACACTTTTATCTTACAGTTTATTGTTTCATACTATTTAAATACGATTATTTGATATGAGCAAACAATTATTAATAGTATAATTTAAAAAATGAAAAAGAAAATTTTCAATCGAAGTTAATAATTAAAAAAGAATTTCCAAGTATAGTTTAATAATTAAAAATTAATTTTAAAGATTATTTTAATTTAAAAAGAAAAAGAAAAACATAAAAAAAAAAAAAAAAAAAACATACTATAATGACCAAAGAAAAGTAAATGAGAAAAAGATGGATAAATGTAAAGTAAAAATGGAAAAATGAATGAAAGAATTGGAATTGTTGCAACTAATAACCACGCTCGCATATTATTAAAAAAAAACAAAAAAAAATAATTATATTAATTTCAAATTTATTTCCTTTAATAATTATAATAAAATTAAATAATCTTTTTTATGCAAATTATATGAGAAAGATTAAATGTTAAATATTTCTGATCAGTTTAATTATTTGCTACAAATCTTTAAATAAGTGATAGTTATGCAAAATTTTTAAATTATTAGTTTTAACTTTCATATTTAAAACTTTTTTTTGTCTTATTTTTTTTTTGAATTCAGATAAAATTTTGCATTTTCAGGAGATGATATATTATGTTTAATGTTGTTTAATAAATATAAACTAAGATAAATGGTTTTAGTTAAATGACAAATATAAAATTGTTAACTGAATTATTATAAAATATAATTTTTAACTGTTTTAGTTTTTTTTTTTTTTTTTTTTTTTGATTTATTTTGTATTATTTAAAAATTGACTTAACAAAAAAACTTTTTCACACTTCTTCAGCATTATTTAAATATTAATTGTTTTTCATTCATCTATTCAATTTTTTCGATATCAATTAATTTTTTGAAATTATTGAAGAAATCAAGATGAAAATTTCATTTAATAATCATTCCAAATCATTTACCAATAAATATAAAATGGAATAATCAGATATTAAAAAACGAAAATATTTGCTAGTGTTTTTGAGAAAATTAATGTAAGATTATTTTTGTAATCTTTTTGCAATCATTGATGGATGTAAAGAAAAAAAAAAACTGTGAAATCAAGAAAGTTTAAGTAATGATAAGTATGCGATAATAAAACTTTTAATTATTAAAATTTATCAAAAAAAAAAAAAAACCCACAAATTTAAGTTCATAGTATCATTCATTAAAGAACGAAATAAAAGCTAAAGAAATGTTATTTGAAATAAAAATAAGGCATGACATTTAATAAAATGATATTACATGAGATCATTAATGTACAAAAAAGATTTCATTTACATTAACATATTTAACTAAAAAAATAAATCGGAAGCTACTATTTCTAAAAAATAAAACAAATTTTTTTATTATTTCTAAAATCAAATAATGATAATAATAACGACTAATTTTTCCTATGAAAAAATGAATCACTTTTAAGCCTCAATTTATTTGCAATTTCAAATTTAAAATAATAAAGAAGCAATCTCTTTTTTTTCCTTTCTTTAAAGAAATCAAAAAAAGCAAGTAGCAAACAGTTATAAATACTTCCAGCAAAAACAAAATAAAACCAAAAATTTCAGTGAAAAACCAAATAAAATCAGAAAATCTTAGAACTAAATTCATTAATTTGTCTTGAAGAAAATTTAAAATCAAAAAAACAAAAGCAAACAAATTAGCAAAGTGCATATTGTAAACACATCCAAGTGATAAACTACTAATTTCCACTAGAATAACTAGCTCATTTAATGAGAAAAAAATACAAATATACATGAAATTTTCTGCTTAGTCAATAATTTTTAATTCAGATTGTCCACTTATTATTAAATTTCCATTCTGGTCGGAATTACGGATCCTGAATTCAGCTCATCCTCAAATATTAATGGAAAAATGAAGCCAAGCTTTGCAATATTTCGCTGTATGACAAGACGACATGATTCTCGAAATTTTGTTGGATTACCCTGTAAAGGTTACTTTTCTATTAATTCTAGATTATAGATAATTATGATAACATTGATGAAAGCTTAATGAATCATGGTAGTGATGTGATAATATAGAATATAAAGCAAAGAATATTTCAAAAAAAAGTCTTTTCTCTCTCTCTTTTTTTTATTCAATTCATAATTTATTCAACTAAGTAAATTGATTAGCATCTATTCAAACTTTCGAAATAATAACATATCTAAATACTATCTATCAATTTAGGAAAAAGGAAAATCTTTTGGATGCATTATATAAATTTTATTAAAATCTACGATTATGTATATATACTTTTCATAATAATCAAAAAGATTAGTTAAATTAAGCAAAATTTGAATTTAAACAAACTTTAAATTATTTCTAACAAAATTTTTCACAATATTCACTTACTTGAATAGGATCAATAGAAGAATTCAATGATCGATCAAACGCAGCATTAATCATATTTGCTGCTGATACTTCCGCATCCAAAACACTCTGAAAATTTTATGTTTGTTTCACTTTATCTGTTAGTATATTTTCGTTACCTAATTGCTTATCAATTTTCATTTTATTCTCATTTTACACAGCAGAAAGATCACTTCCAAAAATTTCGTCCACTTTTTATTAGATTAGCAAATGACTAAGATAAATTAAACATATGTAAAATTTCATACATTAATGATTAATTTTAGGTTTTTTTTTTTTTTTTAATTTTTAATAGATTTATACCAATCTATACTTATTTTATTGTGGTCAATATCATATATCATCTTCTTTCTTCTCATTAATTACAAACAAAGCTAATAGTTCAAAATATGAGTCATCACAAAAATCATCATTTATGTATTGATCGTTAAGAATTTAAAAGAAAAAATTGAATATATTATAATGTTCAGCAGTTCAATAGGAATTAAACTTGCAATTTTTAATAGAACTATCATTGATCTTATCGATGGCTTTATAAGATATATTAAGATAAAGATAACAGATACCAGTTATAGATATGTCATATAAAAATAATGATTACTTATCAAAATGAATGAACGCTAAAAAAAAAAGCAATAATTCAGAATTTTTCGCAAAAATTGATATCCAACGAAAAAAGAGTGCTAAGTTATGATAACGAATAATGAGGAAATATAAATTATTGCAGAAAGTTTTTGATGCATATTTAGGATTCTAAAAGAGCAAAACAAAAAAAAAAAAAACTATACCTGAAAATATTGCCAAACATCAAGCAAAATAACAAATCCTTCGCGACAGCTAACTCTTGTAATTAAATCAAAATAATAAACCATTTGTTGAGGTAGCATTTGTCCCTGAAATTGCATTTAAAAAATTAGACTGTCAAAAATACATACAGGTATTAAGAAATAATCAAGTTTTGAAATCCACGCTGTGTCTTTTTTTACTATGAGACAATCTTTACTTCGAATTAGAAACAACACACATTGGACAAGTGTAAGAGCATAAGAATTTCCTTTAAAAACCTTTTATTATCCACATGATTTTCTTTCTTTTTAATTTTGTGATTTATAATATCGTCTAATGACATTTAACACTAAAGGTAAATACTTCGCACACGAAGATAAATGCTTCGCATGCATCAAAATTAAATTATCAAAAAAAAAAAAAAGTGTACCTCAGGACAAAAACCTTTTTCTTTCGATCAATTATATTAAAGTTACTAAAAAATGAACAAACCTTACGAGCCAATAAAAACCATTTATCAAGCATACTGGTAAGTTGTTTACGCGGTAGAGATTTTTGATCTGAACTATTTTCAAATTGTATCATAATAACAGCAAGATATGCCTGAAATATTATAAAAGAATATAAAGAATGTTCAGTTGTCTTTTTTGAAAATTTTCGACAGCATTATTTAGTTAGATCATTTAGTAAAACGCGTTTACTTTTTAATCTTAAAGAATGTCAGAATTAGGCAGTTTATAGTATAAAGGTAATCGTATTATGTCTAAAGTGAAATTAACAATAAAAGTTTTTGATTTAATTAGCTAAATATATCCTTAACATTTGTCAGATATATTATACATCCCAAATACAAAAGTAAAATGTAAATAAATATGAAATCCTTATGAACATATAGCAAATTTCAATGTGATTTAAAAATCATTCCAAATGGCTTTGAAGAAATTTGGAAAACTTTAAACTTACTTTCAGAAGTGGACAACAGTACCACAAACAAGGATGCACTTCGGTCAATGCCAACATAATATCCCAAATAAGTGGAATTTCTGTGAGTCTTTTTGAAACTGCGATATATCTACAAACATAAAATTTAAACAGAAGGGAAATTTTTTTATATTATCCAAGTTCGACTGAATGCCTAATATGAATCGAAATTGATATTTCATATGTGCATGGTTGTTCAATTAATAGTAACAATAAAAAGAAAAAATATACCTAATGAATATTTATTTATAATTATCACAACAAAAAAGTTCACCTATTTACTACGATGAACCATTTCGAAACAGCATTTTCAATGGAAAAACACCAATAAAAGTTCAATTTAACATGTATGAAGAAATTTCAAAATTCTAACGTGAAAAAATTAATAACCTTGGAATAACTTCACGGGCATGTTCCCATTCTTCCCAAACAAAACTAGCAGCAAGACCGTCTTTGCATACTCGATCTGTCAATTTTATCGCCTAAAAAGCTAGCAATAAACAAATAAAAAAAATTTTTTTTTTTTTAAAAATGCAAAAAAAAAAATTTTTTTACAAATGCATATTTAAAGATGCATCTGTCAAATATCCTATATTAATGATAATTTGATAGATCCGACCATATACAATACAGAATAATAATTCTTTAATATTTATTAATCATTCATATAAATTTTGTTATTCAACAACTTTTTTTAATGTTTTACTGGTCTATCACTGATCCATCTTTTGTGATGAATAATAGAAAACGAAAACTTCATTTCTGATTTCCAAAATTTACATTGCGATTGCAAGAAAATAAAAAAAAAAACATAAAAAAAAAGATAAACAAGTACCAATTGCTTGTAAACTTGCTGATATGGTATCAAATTTCGATCTGGCCCCATCGTACTGCAAAATCGCTGAAGACATTCGAAGAAAACTAAACGACGCATCGTATTTCCATCCTAAAATCCTTTCATTCATTGATTTATTCTTTTTATCAAAAAAAAAAAAACAGGCAACAACTCCTGAAAATTTACAAATTTTCATCATTTAATAAATATAATAGGAACAGAATTTCAGATAGAAAGAAATATGGAAAAACTGTAAAATACTGATCAGTTAATGAATCAAATATGATAATGTAAAAGAATAATTTCATTTGAAACAAAGTATATTTTAAAACATTTTTATATATTATTCATCAGTTTAAGTTGGTAATCAAATATACCTTAACATTTTTAATTTCTAATCGTTTCACACCTCGACCAATAATTCCAGAATGTGCTAAATGTACAGGTTTCTGTTGATACAATGGTAATTTTCGAGCTAAATCAAATAATGATTCTTCTAATTCATCATTCTCTTCAGCATCTGACATATCGATTGAATGATTTGTTTGTTGAAATCCACCCGAAAATTGCAACTCTGTTTCCCAAGCATTCAATGATGAGCAACCAAATAAATGTGATGCTTTCTGGAATTTCAAATTATAACAAATAAAAACTTTACTTCACACAAAGAAAAATTTTATTTTGAATTTGAAAAAAATAATAGAAGTAGTAATTTTAATAGTTTAAAATAGTGATAAAAGAATATGGAGATGATAATTCTGAATGGCATTTTCTGAGACTTTCTACTACTCCACCTCAAATAGAATATTAATTTCAGTAGGAAATAATAGAACATTAAAGCTTACCGCAAAAGCTTCATCAAGTAAATGAATGATAAATTGTTCGCGAACATATCCTACTTGTGAAGTTAAGAATTCATTAGCACATGTGCATGCATTTGTAAATAAAGCAAATCCTGTCGGATCATCTTCTGCAATTGTGTGAAAAAAAATCATTATATGACGATATTTCATAGTTAAGAAAAGTTAGGAGAAAAAATAATTTCCTAATTAACTGAGAAATTTTTGACCAATTAGAGGAGCATATTTTTTAGTGATTATCAATGATTATCAACTGATAATTTCAATCAATACATCCATTCAGGAAATAATGAGATGTAAAATAGCTTAACAGAATGATATGAAAAAAATTGAAAAGGAATGTGAAAAATTATTTTGCATATCATATTTGCGTAATATTAAAAGAACACATAAGAAATCTGTTTAAGATATCATCAACTAACCTCGTCCTACATAATCAAGCAACAAAACTATCAGTGAAGCAAATTGAGCGCTTAATTTATAAGGATATTTTGGCTCGAGAACCGATGGTGGTCCTATCGACGAACATAGCGACAAAACCGCTTCTATTACAGAATCTCTCATTGCACTTATCGATTCATTGGTCTGAAGTATTTAATGATGATATTTTCGTCGAAGAAATTTTTGAAAATATTCGACGCTATTTGAATTCAGTCTTCCTAGTAATTGAAATCTAAAAATTCTAAAGCAAAATTTGAAATTAGTTTAAAAGAAGCGAACAACCTTTTCTTTCCGTTTTAAGCTAGACAAAACATCCAATGCCCATCTCAAAATTTCAGTTGCTAGTTCTCCGTAATGCTTCGACATTTCAAATCTAAAACGAAACATTACTAATAAGTACTCATCTGTACTCTAATTCTTTGTAATTAAACTTTGATATTAAACTTGTATATCAAACGTTAAACTCAAATTAAATTTAAGTTTTAAATATTAGACAGGAATAGATATTAGAGTGGAAAAAAAAAACAGAATTCAAAGAAACTGATAACGGTTAACCTTATATATTTGATAACGTGTTCATCATCTGACATTTTCTCCCATTCGTTCAAGGTACGTAAATTATGTAACCATTTCACATCATAAAAATCATCTTCGAAAAATGCGGTACTAGATAAACTACCTAAAAAAATTTCTTGAGTAATGAATCATTTTAGATCATCGCAATCGAGATAATACAATATTTAGTTAAGGAAGTACTATCAAATTTAGTTTAATTATAGTCAACAGTGTAACCTGGATTTCCTTACAATAATTCTAATGCAAGCCAGATATGGTTGCACCTTAAAATTTATCAATTTTCAGCTAACTATCTTCCCTCGCTCAAAAAAGAATTCAACTTTGAATTAACAACTAACTAAATCAAAACATACTAGATAGAGTAAGTTTCTTCGATGATTTACGTTCTTTGTCAAGCATTAAAATTGTACGATTGGCGAAAAAATTTGTTATAGCATCTTCTGAGGTATTCGGTGCAAAGATAATTAACGATGTTAACAATGAAATAAGGCAAATAAGCTGAAAAATAAAAAGATAATTTTTCGAAGTAATTTTAAGAGAAATATATACATTTCCATATTAATTTCAGTATTTTGAATCATCGAACATTTCTTTAATCTATGCAAAAACTCTCTGTTTTTTAATTAATTCGATTGGGGTAATTACAAAATATTCAAATAATGATATTTTAATTAAATAATGATTCTTACTTGTTTTTCATCTTTTGCTTCAATAATGTATCTTGCGATAATTTCTGCTGTTCGTACAGGACCAGATGCAATACAAAATGCATGAACATATGGAATGAACAATTTTGATCTAAATAAATAAATATTAAAATTACTCATATCTCCTCAAAAAAAAAAAAAAAAAAAATCAAGCAATTGTGAATAACAGTTATTGTGAACAAAATAATTTTAACCAAACAATTAAGACCTGAAAAAATAAGAATTCAAATTGTAATATGAATTGATAGGAAGAACTGCAAATATAGGATAAATATTAACCTTTCTCCACCAGCCATTGAATTTTGTATTGTTTCCTCCAAAATTTCAAAATTAGTAGCACATCGTTTCAAAAGAGCATTTTCATCGACATTATACATTGTTTGATTATGAACCAGTGATACTACCATACCAATTATCTCTGTCTAGAAATAACAATTAAAAAAATAATGTGTATTTCATTTCTAAGTTTCACAATTTAAGATATAACTTACCAAAATTTGTAATGCACTATCTTTCATTGACGTTTGGAATGATTGATCGTAGTTGTCGAATTCTGAAATGCTAGATTTAGTAGTGATTGTTAAAAGTAAAGATATTTTATGTAAGATACTCAAACCACTAACTCAAAATTTAAGTTGAAAAAAAGCAGCTGAACAGCATTGATATGGTAGTAAAAGAGAGAAACTGTTTAAGATATCTAGAGTTCCGATGTTATATAGATAAATAAACAAACACAAAGAAAAGCATTTTTTGGAAGAAATATCAGTTGTATTTAATTTTTCAAATTACTTTAAATGTTGAAAAATATTGAAAAATTACAAACTTCCAAAAACATTGTCATAGAAAGCTAGTGGTAATATCTCAATTACTTTAAATTTGAAAAATACTAAAATATTACAAACTTCTAAAAACATTGTCATCGAAGGCTATTGGTAACATTAGTTCAACGATATGTGCCAAAGCATCCGAATTTAGATAAAATGTTATTTGACGCATAAATGCAGTATAAGTATATTCCATATTTGGTAACAGAGGTAGCAAGCATTGCTTGTTTAGTTGTGACACGTATTTTGCACCACTGATGATAAAATCTGTTGTTACTAAAATTTTTAATAATAAATTATAAATTTATCTTTTAAACAGAAATGATTAATTTTGGAAATTTGCTTGCAGTAGTTATGAGAAAGACTATCAAAAGATAAAATCCTATATGATACTTTTAAAGAATAACAACGAAAGACAAAATTTGTACTGATTAAATTCCTAATGAAATATCTAAATTAATTACAAATGATAACTAACCCAAATCATAAACATTATGCACTAAAAATCGCAATATATCCGGAGAATTTGCTACTATTTTAATCAAAAATGGCAATGATAAATTCTGTAACTGTTCAGGAGTGGTTGTTTCATTTTCCAAAAGATCTCGATCATTCTGCAAAAATTCTATATACATTTATGAAAGCAACTTCTTTTTTGAGATTAAAATAACGTAGAAATATTCGTTACTCTGAATTTATTTGATTTATCATGTATGTAAGAATCAATTTAAAAATCAAATAAAAAAAATTTTTTTTTCACATTTTTACATAATCATTTGTTAACATACGGATATCATTTCTCGCATTGCATTCCTTAATTCAGAGTTGTTTTGTGTTGCAAGAAATGTAAACACATCACAAACTGATAAAAATTTTTGCTTATAATTTTCATGAAGTTCTATTGGTACTTGACTGGTCTAAAAAATATATGAGATTAAATGAAATTTGAACAGACAATAATAAGATTAAAAGTTCTACTGTAAATAAAGTAGATATGGAAATGCAAGAATGGAAAAGTATGGAAATTTTATAACTAGTTTACAGTGATCCTAGTTAATCTATCTTAAACTGCTAGTTTATAATTAATTATGAAAATGTTTTTATAAAGAGCTGAAAAATCACCAGTATAGCATTAAGGTAATGCTTGAAGTCTTGTATACCAATCTTCAACAAATGAGCAACAATGGTATCCGGAAATGAAGCACTGCAAAAAACAAAGAAAAAAAAACATTTCAAAATCAAACAAGAAATTTTCGAAAGAAAAAAAAATTCTCAAAAATACTATATAAACTTAAACTTACACAATGTGCAACCATATCCAAGCAAAACAAAAACCATGTGCAGAAGCATCAATCAATATGGAAAGGCATTCGTCAGGTGTAGTATTTAATCTAAAATTATTGCTGACAACTAAAACAATGATATGATATGATAATATTAATCCCATTCTTAATCACTAGGCAAACATAATGTTATATTATGGTACATGCTTTAATCTCACAGTCATAATAACGTATTTTCATAATTCGGAAATATTTTACAAATTCTTTAATCATACTATAAAAAAATGTGTTGAATTAACGGTGGCAGTTCTTTTTTTTCTTTTAATTACAATAATCAAATGATTGCATTCAAAGCAGTGATCAAATAATCCTATTCAAAAAATGGAGAAATCTTTAAAAAAAAAAATTCACAGCAAAGCGATCGCTTTATCGGTTAATTTGATAACACTTGAAACTGCTGGACATGAATCAAATAATGCAAGCAAAGCGGGTGGTGTAGTACCCGCATTTTTTGCAATTGGACGTTCGTAGTTATATTTACAAATTTCAACAAATAAATTACACGCCCACTGAAAAGTAAAAAATTTTCAGTCAGTTACAAACACTCTCAAAAAAAAAAAGAAAAATTATCTTAATCTTTATTTTCTCTCGAATTTCAATGCATTTCCTTTTTTACTGTTAAACAGTTCACTGGTTGTAACCAATTTTTTTTTCAAGATGACCTACTTTTATTAAATCTATCCGAATTAATCAATCAATCAGTCTTATAGCAAAACATTTATCATGTATAACAACCATAATCTATCGTCCTCCAATGCACAAATTATACTGAGCCTTCTCAAATTTAATTCTTCGATTTCACTAGTTTAATTTTTTCTTCAACATTTTTTTAGTACTCAGAGATCAAAGCATGAAAAAATTATTAGAATGAGCTAACAGTAATTATAAATCATAAAAAAGCTAGGAGATATAAAGCAACAAAATGTACCACAAGAATATCAAATGCGAAGCCTTTCGATTGTGTTCGAATCAGTAGGCGACGAAATTCATTTGTAAGCTTCCGTATAGCACGATCAATGTTAGCAGTATCGGCTGCTAAAAATATGGAAAATATGGAAAAAAAAATTTGCCTTTTCAATCGATAGGAATACTTTCAACAACTTAGAAAAATCTAATTTTATAGAAAATGAATTTGAAATAAAAAAAATACAACATTATTGCAGGTAATCAAAATGTTATGAAATATAAGAAGTCCATACGATTATGCCGTGCTGAAGTTCTTTTTAGTTCCTTGTCTTTTAACTAATCGTTCATCAGACATTCCATAGCTCAAGTCACGATAACTTAGCAAAATAAAAGATAATATTGCAAATGACATTTTTTTTTTGATGTCTTGTAACTTTTCTGTTTACTACTCCACTTTCTTACTAATTACAAATGAGCTAGACTGGATTTTGTAAAACAGTAAAAAGTTTAGCCTATTCTCGGTTCAAGAAACTCTACTCTCGAAATGCGGCTAACTAACTGGAGAAACGTATTTCTTTCGTTCAGGCATTTATATAACAATGGATGAGGCAATTAAGACCGAATAAGAAGCATTCAAAATTTCATACCTTCCCTGGTATCAGCATAATGTCTATGGGGTCAATGAACACATTTTAGTATTTTTGTATGTTACTTCATTTAACGTCATTCACGTGAGAATTCTGGAATAAATTAAATTAGTCTAACCAATATGTGGATTCTCTTGTTTCGATAAATGCAAATGAGTTGCTTCATGTGTCAGCATGCCAACATAATTTAGAACAGCAGGTCTATAAGTAAGATATGATAAGAATAAAAATCATAATGCAGAAATATGATAACATGAAGAACAGCAAAAGTTAACTCGAATATTCAGCAATTTCCTCATTACCTTGATAACTTTATAGATTAACTTGATACTTTTTCAAGCAAAACTAAAAATCTTTAAACAAATCTAAAATAAAATTGTTTTTATTAGAACCATTTTGAAGTTCAACATTATCTTAAAGTTGTATTTTAACTATAACATATGCTATTTTCAAAAGATTAAATTTCTGCAAGCAATCAAAATTTTTCTCTATAAATCACTTTTTTTTTAAAAAAAAAAAAGTTCTTTGTCTTTCTTGCAAGTTATCCTAAATTCAAAAATACATTAATCATACTTTGAGCTTGGAATTTTTGACAAAATTTTTAGGCAAGGATCGACCAGATATGAAACAGTATTATTCGCCCATATTGGTCTTAAATTTCGATATACCATTCCAATATCATCCACTGCACCAATAACAGCATAAATGTCAACCATATATCGTTGTAACATCTAAAATTTTTTAATTAAATTCACTCAATGATATTTATCAGCAACTAATTACAATTCCATAATTAATATAACTACTTCGACGTTACTTTAGAATTACTTCGAATTTCATTATCTTAAAATTTTATTCTAACTGCCATATATAATGCTATTTTCAATAGATTAAGTTTCTGCACATTAAGTTAATCTGCAATTATGCTTAAATAAATCTATCAGTAAATGATGTAAATGTTATACTAGCAGTATGTTATGTAATTGAAATTAATCGATTAACTTAATAGCTTACCAAAAATAAGGTTTTGAATTAATAAGTAAATTTTACACATATAAATTCATTACCTGGGTATTGGGAAGTTCATCATTGTCTTCAGTTAAACGTATCAACATTGAATCATCTGCAGAAGTAGCATGAGATGAAGATGGTCGAATAGACATACTCCAATTTGTTTCTCTCAAATCATTTGAAATATACATTTGATTAACTTACCAACACAATTTTTATGGAAGCCATTTAAGAAAAGAAAATTTGAATACTATCCGAAGATCAAAGACGTATATATATAATTCAATATGTTGATTACATTTCATTATCGTTATCATACTAACTATGCTTTATAATTATTTGTAATTATGATTATAAACACCGACAATTCTTACAAATTCATTTTGAAAACTTATCATCGTCATCATTTACTTCTAAAGGTCAAATACCACATAGTTTCAAACCTATTCAAGAATATAATCCTCCGCTGAATTCTCGAAAACTTTACCCAGGTCATTCTTACCTAGACTCAACCATCAAACCTCTCATTTAAACATTACTTTGATTCCAGCTATTGCTGATAACTTTTTTCCACCAATTAAAAGTTAAACTTTAAAATGGAGAAATACTCAAAACAAAAAAAAAAAAAATTTATCCTTAATTAAGAGTATGAATTGACATATTACTACTATAACATTTGGTAAGATACAATGACAAAAAAAGTTAAATTAAATTAATACTCCGGTTATTTATCAAAAACGAGAATTATTAGTTTTGATTTAATAATCAATATTGCATCCAACAAAACTTAGAAGGAACAAACAAACAGCAAAGAACTCCAATTTTTGGTTGTTGGAACTCAAAAAATTCAATTCTTCAAAGAAAAAAAAATTTTTTTTTTTTTGAAATGTGCGCATTATGAATTAGAAATGAAATTAGTGCTACATGCTTCTAAACTACTTATATTGGCAGTTGTTCCTCCATCACACATGCATTTCCTTTAAATATTGTGCTATTTTGAATGATAAATACTACTATCCCTCATGATTTTAATTAATTTCAATAATTTGGTTAAATTATTTTCAATAATAAGTAGCATTTTCTTCTTACCCATAAAACTAACATGTCTGATGATAACAATAAGAAATATATTAGCTTTACCTCTATGATCATGTAAATTTAATCTATTTATATCTGCTATAAATAAAAAACATATGTGGAACTTAATTTCGAAAAAAAAAAAAGTCTTTCAAGTTAGGAATTCGCAAGAGATAAGGATGAGCTGTAATCGATGGCTTTAATCAATTCCAATAATTTCACTGAATTATTTTATATAATAAATAGAAATGAAATAAGAATTTTTTTTACCCATAAAGCTAACTTGTTATACAAGAAAAAGTACATAACACATTCGGAAAACATATTTTGAAGAAAATTGATGGCACAGTTGCACAGGCATATCAATACTCGTTGACATATATTCGAATACAAATAATATAACTGAACTATATATGAGAAAGAGGATAAATTATTTTATGCACAATACTTGAAAAACAACAGAAAAAAATCTACATGATTTGTTCTGAAGGAAAAAATGAGAGAAAAAATCTACAAGAAACTATAGGGGAAATTCCATTAATTTCTATCAACCTTTACTTATTCTATTCTCTTATAATATCTATTAGCTCTAACTCAAATATAACCACATTTTCCCTTACCATTAAACTAATATATTACTTAGTCAGAAGTATTCCATATGAACAAAAACAAGCAAAAGTCGAATTCAAATGTTTTTATTTGCTATTTTGTTGCTGCTGATGTTCGGAACTCTCGAATGGAGCCGGCAATTTAAGTTCACCTGGTACCACATCCCAAATTTCCCGTGCATATTCTGCAATTGTACGATCCGTACTAAATTTACCGCTACTTGCAATGTTCATTAAGGCCATGCGTGTCCACTTGTCCACATCCTGGAATGAATTTCATTAGATATATGAAATTATTTTAACCTTAAATAAAAAGGCTCAACACATAAGTAAATGCAATAATAAATAAATTAAATGAGACTAAAAAGTCTATTTTCATCGAAAATGGATACTAAATTAACTTTAGTTTGAAAAAAAAAACAAAGTAAATATTCGACAATATGTTACCTACAAAATGGATCAACAAGCAAACCTGATAAGTTTGTTCTACTTCCAGCTGACACTTGATGAATGCGTCATAATCAGCGCACACCATAAAACTTAAAAGAAAAAAAAGTTATGACATTTAAGACATCAGTGAAAGAAAAAATTTGTTTTTCGAGTTTAACTTAAATCAAATTGAAATCGACCATAACTAGGTTAATTCAACAATAAAGTCTTGTAAATTTCTTAATATATCAGTATGGAAGTTCTCTTAATTAATCTTTTAAATTATTTTTAACTTCTTAATGCAAACATTCTGTTCATACTTCTCCTGAAAACATCTTTTTACATTACGTACATTAAAATTTCATTGAAATATTAAAGAACTGACCGATCCCACTTCTTCAGTGCCATCGCAACATCTTGTAATAAATCAGGCTGATCAGGAGTGAAGAAACCGGTCTCAATCTGTTCGATGATTTTTGCAAGTTCTGGACTTTTCTTAATAAAATCTTCTGGATTGTAACTGAAAAAAAGAAAAAAGAAATGATATGGAAATGATAAAGAAATAACTTTGATCAAAAAAAGTTTTTCCAAATTGATCGCAGGAATAAGCATGAAATATTAATCATTTTATTAATAAACTAACCCTCTTCTACTAAGTGCGGTGACATCTTCAACTTCCATACCAAAAATGAAAATATTCTCACGACCCATTTCTTCCATCATTTCTACATTAGCTCCATCAAGCGTACCAATGGTTAGCGCACCATTCAACTAAATAATTTCTATTGTTTATAAATGTCTAACATAAATAAATTCCGTCATTTACAAAATGTCCATTAACTCTAAACGTTAATAAATCATTTGGCTTATAAATTTCTCGCTAAATGTGTTGGCAAGTATTAAATTTTAAAATAAGCTTTATGTTCCAAAGTAGAACCATTATTATAGTCCAATTCTTTTACATAACTTTCCGAAAATTAATAAATCATATAATTGTTAGGCTATCATTATGAAATTCAATGGAGAAAATAATTATCAGAAAATACACGCTCCTTAAATTTCCCGAGCATATTCTGCAAGTGCGCAATCCATTAAACCGAATAACAAATAATAATGAAACCACAAAGCTAACCATGAATTTCATATTACCCGTTCCGCTAGCTTCCGTACCAGCAGTTGAAATCTGTTCACTAAGATCTGCAGCCGGAATAATTTTTTCCGCCAGAGACACACGATAATTTTCCAGAAATATTACCTGAAATAATCGAAGAGAATTTTCTCAGGTTTAATGTGCTTTTTTGTTTCATTACCAATGCAACATCTCTCTTACAATGCTATCTAAAAGTAAAATTTTCGTTACTTCAAAGGAAAAAAAAAATTAAAACCTTCAGTTTATTCCCAACAATTGGATCATGGTTTATTATATCTGCAACACAGCCAATCATTTTTATAACCTGTTTCGCCATATGATATCCTGGAGCTGCCTACAATGAATAGCAACTAAAATAATTCCGTAAAATTTCTAAGAAAATTAAACAAAAGAAAAAAGATCTTATCTTCAGTACAATATTTGAAATCAAAAAAAAAAAGAAGAAAAAAGGAATTGATAAGAATATTACTAGTAAAAACTTCATAAATTTACAAATATAACACAAGCCAACCCATTAAATTTACCGTTTAGTGAACTATACAAAAAATCTTAAATTTGATAAATAGATATATAGTAGAAACGTAACCTTTCCTCCAAAGATTACAGTACGTGGAATAATATTTGCATTTGGATTGGTTTTAATACGATTATAAAGTGTAATAACATGCAATACATTCAAAAGCTGACGTTTATATTCATGAATTCGTTTAACCTACAATTAATTACTTAAATTATTCATTTATCAATATAAGCAGTTGAAGTTTTTTAAAAACTATTTGTGTAATAATATTTTTTACAAATATATGCAAGTTCTATCGTAATGGTTAGCATTAATTAACTACAACGTCAATGAAAGGTTCAGTATCTAATGTTTTTTATTCCAGAAATCACTTGCCAATTAATAAGGATATAAGTAAGAAATATAAATGAAGGAAAACGACGCACGTGAATATCAAAAATACTAGATGGATTGATTTTGACATCATATTCGTCTTCGAGATATTGCGCTACACGCATTTTATTTTCCTGTTTTACCCGACGAATTGCATCCAAAAAGCCTAAATCGTTAGCAAATTTTTTCAATTCTTGTAATTTGTCAAGATCCGTAATCCAATCTTCCCCGATTTTCTGAAAAAAACAAAAAAAAATAAAGTTAATTTAGAAAAATGCCACTCACAAATTGTGAGTATCCGTTGTCAACTATAAGCTAGTCAAAAAAAAAGTGTAGCATGAAAAGTGGATCATATGATTCGTTTTTCGAGAATTGATATATTATCAATTCCTACAAAACTAAAGAACACATTACATCACATGCGTGATAAGTAATACAAACTTGTAGAAGTTTTTTATTTATAAAAGAAGTAGAAAGTTATAACTTGCTAATTAAGATACATAAGATACTTACTTCACAAATAACATCAGCAAGAGATGGATTCGATAATAAAAGCCAACGCCGCGGTGTTATACCATTGGTTTTATTTTGGAATCGATCTGGGAAAAATTCATGAAAATCTTTGAATCTGAAATGAAACCTATAAATTCATGAATTAATTGCACATCAAAATTAGTCCTCGTATTAGACATAAATGTCTATAAAGAAAAGAGATAAGAAAGCTAATGGTACAACAGTTATTGATATAAATAATAAAATCTGCATTTAATCAGTGGTCAAACTACAGAACCAAATATCATAATTATTTCACTAAATGATACTACTGAATTTTGGAATTAAACCTCATCGCACACTTATGCTGGTACAATGTTTCTTTTCTAATTCGATTATAAACCATTTAGCGTTAACTTAAAACTAAAATCAGCAAATCTCGAAGTCAAACTCACACGGTTTTTTTCAACAGATCTGAATGTAAAGCAGCAACACCGTTAACAGCATGCGAGCCGACGATACACAAATGTGCCATATTGATTCGCTTTTCACCAAATCCATCCTCTTCTTCTACAATCGACATGCGACGCATACGATCGAAATCTCCTGGATATCGTGCAGATATTGCCTTAATAGTTTAATTTTTACACTTTTTTATGGAATGACTCGTAAAAAGCCAAAATTATTGCACTTTAAATAGCTTTTGGTTTAAATAAATGACCTGAAAATATGAAACAACTTTTAAAAAAAATCTTCAAAAATACTTTGAAATTACAAGTTTTTGGAAATATTTTCAAGTTTTCAAATCTTATAATTTATCCACATTATAAAAATCTTATAATTTACAATTTATTATAAATTATCTTATTTTTATAATCTTATAATTTATTCACATTATGAAAAGCGAATAAAACCTACAACTAAATTGGCAGAATTGTTAACTTATTTAGTGACAACAAAATAACTTACATCCATGAAAACTTGATTAATTTGATATATGATTTCCAGATGTCGCGGCAATAAATTCCCGAGCAATGATACTGGCCATCGTTCAAGAGCTTCTGGCAAAAGCGTATGGTTTGTATATGCAAATGTCTTCACGCAAATATCGAAAGCTTTATCGAATGGTAATCCTAAAATTAAATGTTGCAACATATTTGTGAAAATTTTTCAAGAAATCAGAAATCCGATTGCACATAAGTAAGAAAACTTGTTAAACTTCAGTCAGCGATAAGTTAACAATTGTATGAAATAGTTATAGCAGACCTTCGATGTCGACAAACAAACGTATGAGTTCCGGAATACCAATTGATGGATGAGTGTCGTTTAGTTGAATTGCAACCTGGAGAAGAAAAGAAAAAAGAATTCCAAAGTTATAACACTTCAAACAAAATTTTATCTTAATAAGAAATTAGAAATAAATCATTCCATAATCCAATTTAATTCACTTCTCGATGAAGAATTAACAACTTAATCATAATTCGATAGAAGGCCATTCATTGAAATAAAATCTTAAAGTAATATTAGATCATCCCCACTGTTCGTTTGAAGACTTCAACAATCAAATTTATTTCATTTTCGATTTAGCGCATAATTACCTTATCAGGAAAATTGTCCAAACTCGATCGAACAGTATCCCGGCAGCCATATTTGCTTGATTTGAAACGCCTGATGATATCTTGCAGTGTGGCTGCTACTAGGAAATATTGTTGCTTTAGACGAAGTTCTTTCCCAATAAAGACCTAAAAATTGGTGCATCTCATTTTACTAATTGCTTATCATTCTCAATGTAATAAAATGACATTCTTTACTGAATTTTATCAATTATATATAAAAATTACTAAAACTTATTCAGTCGCTATGTTAAACATAATACATAATTAAGAGTGATAGTTTTCTCACATATGATAGTTTCTTAAGCAGAATTATAAATCCAAAGATTAAATTATTTCGTTCCATCTATGCCTTTAGTCATTTTCCGTATTGGCTGTTATTAATTTAACTATTAATTTAAACTGTTTATTATGAATAAATAAATGAGCACTAATTGAAAAATCAAGGAAATGATACATTGTCATTGGGATACAAAACACGGGTAATATTTTCGGAGATGTTACGATCCATTACTGCTTGCACATAATCACCGTCATTGACTGCAAAAATTTATATAAATTTCTGTTGTACTTTAAACTGCTAAAAAGATAATAAATATTTTGTTACTCATAATTAAAAATTTCAATTTTGAATACATACAAAATTTCAAGTGGAATTTATTTTCAGCTTTCGCTGACCACAAACGTAACGTGTTTACAACATTATTCCGGAAACCAGGAACAGGTGTATCATATGGCATTGCAAACATCAACTGTGTATTAACCCATTTGCTCTGAAATTTGGTTTTTAATTTACATGTTTTCCAAATAAGCAGAAAAATGAATCTACCATCTTTTACTGAACTTTAAAAAAACTTTAAAAAAAAAATTTCTCCATGAATAAAATTAATGTTACTACTGATATACTATGCTATTGAAAAAAACATTATTGGAATATTAAATATTAATTTACTTTGCCATTTGCATCTTTTTCAACTTTGCCATAAAAATTGATCGGTAGCATGTATTCGGGACGAGATTTCTCCCACGGATTACCAAATCGCAACCAATCATCTGGTTCTTCAACCTAAAACATATTTTTTTCTGTTTAGAAGTTTGTCCCTTCATTATGTTTCTTTCATTGAATAATTTAACTATCACTGTCGGTATTCCCTTCACATTATCTATAGTGCTGGTTTTTACTATCCTTTTATTTAATACGTTACCTGGTACATATGATAAAGCTATGGTAATATAGAACAAGTCTATGCTACTTGGACTGAACTCTAATTTATTAAAAATAAATGTAGAGTTGACTAAGTGGCCGAAATAAGCACAGCAAGCCACACACACAGTTATGTATGCTAAATTGGATTGTATAATATTGTAATTAATTATTGTAATTAGATATGCTAATTCTTTTATTTTTGGACAAAGTTCCTCTGAATGAGATGACTATGATAACTATTAATATAATTCCAATGAATACTGAAAAAAAAAAAGAAAATAAGGTGCAAGGAAACATTAACTTACCATTATCATAAATTTCTCTATAATAAGCATGAAAGCTGATATATTCACCACTATGTCATCTTCACTTATCATAAATAATTAAACATACTTGCCAACCGTCTCGAATGAGTTGCTTGAAAATACCATATTCATAGCGTAAACCATATCCATAAGCAGCAATACCCAATGTAGCCATTGAATCAAGAAAACATGCTGCCAAACGACCAAGACCACCATTTCCAAGGCCAGCATCCTCTTCGATTTCTTGCAATTCTTCCACATCAAGACCGAGCTATTTTTGGAAAAATAAATTGCATCATGCAAATATAATGCAAAATTTCATTTCGATTCCGAATGAAATAAAAATTCAAAAAATAATTTTGCAAGGAAAAATAAAAAGAAAAGCGCAGAATAACAGAACAAAGATTATATGTTTCTGGAACAGAATAAAACTAAAAATGCAATATATAGAGATCTTAGCTTAGTCAGTACTTCTAAGACAAATAAATAAGCAATCGTCGAAAATAAGGATAAATTTTAAACCTATAAGACAGCTGTTATTGTTCAACAACAGCTGTTATTTTTGATAAACAACTTTTCAATACTAAAAAGTCTCGATCTCCTTAAAACGTGCTAAATGAGAGAAAAAAGAAAAAGGATAAAAGAAGATTTTATTGAGATGCTATATTAATCATTCAAATATATTGGCAAAGTTTCTGTATACATCAAAAAATTTTGCCAACTATCCTAGTTCAACAATTATGATGGAATAACACAACAATTGCACAATTCAATAAGGAAAATTTATGAAATTAACAATTCCACTATAAGCTTCATTTATATTCGAGAAAGTTAAACAATGAATTTAGAGAGATTAGAAATTAGAATGAACTAAAAAATATATTACATATTAAATTTGGTATTGAAATTAAAAAAAAAAGATTGTACTGAATGAGAAAGTTTCAAATGCTGTAAATAAATTCCAGAAGATATAATAATGTGAAATGCTGTAATTCAGTTCCATCTCTACTATCAATAATATTTTATTAATAACAATTTAAATGAATCATATTTGCAAATCACTAATTTTTCATATTCCGAAGAGACAGCAAAAATTCATAGCGGACAATCGTTAAATGTTGTCCATCATCGCCGATCTTAAGAAAATACTGGGACACTGTGAAATAGTATACTGTCTCACCTGGTATAATGCTTCGTCGATGGCTGCTTGTATACCGATATTCATCATTGTGTTTGATAACGTTCGACCCATGTAGAATTCAAGTGATAAGTAGTAAACACGCTGAGAGAAGGTATTTCAGTATTAATGATAAGTAAATTAGGAGATAGTCTAGGCTAGATTAGAATCTTGTATAGATAAGTAGACTAGAAGATAGCTTAGGCTAGACTGGAAGGTAGTTTGGTACGGGCAATTAGACTAAAAAATAGTCCTAACTGGACTAGGAGATGGTTTCATATCGATAGTTAGAGTAAAAGAATGTCATAACTATATTCAGTGGTAATTTCACAATGATAACTATAGCAGAAGATAGTCTTAACTAAGCTAAAAGATAATCTTTCTTAGAATAAAAAAAAATTAATCAATGAAGTGTATCACAAAAAAGAAAAAATTATACATAAAGCAGTCTTATATGTACGAAAATATAAAAATATATACTTTTCTTAGCCACTAAAAAAAAAAATCTTTTTTTTCAACTAACAAAGCAAATATTTTTCTAATAAATTTTATTGGTTGAATAATTCTTTTATTCTATAAAAGACAGTAAAAATTTTCTTTTTTTTTTTTCCCTTAGGAAAAATCTTAATTACTTAAAAGTTTCACTTATGAACAAAATTGAAGTAAATTTTACTTTAAAAACTGAAGTAATTAAGTAATGGAATAAAAAAAACTAAAGTAAATTTAATTTCAGAACTAAATTGAAAAAAAAAAGGAAAATAAAATACTTTAGGATCTTTATCATAATAATATTGCTGTGTACGAATCCAACGGCTCACTAAATGATCTCTGACAGTATTTGCTAAAGCAAAATAATAATCCCGTGGTGTCGCAACATTTCGATCCTATAATTTAATAATAATAATTTAATACAATTTAATAATTTAATATAATAATCATAATAATTTAATACAATTTAATAACTAATAAGAAGTTAATTTATGCTTAATAAAGTTAGAATAAAATTCAAAAAATGCAATACTTTTTTTAATTATTAGCAAAGTTTTTTCAAATGAACTAATTGAACAATCTTTTTATTCTTCTATTAAATATACTCTAAATCTTTTCATTTCTTTTTTTTGTTTAACACAAACCTTATTTAAGTTTTTTTTTTTTTTTAATTTTAATTATTTAGCTATATTGTTCTATATTGTTATTACAAAAAGCTTATTTGCTGTAGAAAAATTTCTCTTTTCATTTTTTTTTTTTTTTTTTTTTTTTAATTAAATTAATCAAATTAATTTTTATAACAAAACCTTAATGATAGAGAAATGAAGATGACGATTAAAGGAATTTTTTATATTTGTAACATTTTCCACTTGAGCAATTCCACGTACGCTAATTTGCTTACGTCGATCACGATCAGTGAGCATTGCCATCTATTTTCTTATTCTTCCTTCAAATAATCCTAATTATTCATAATTTGCTAAAAGGATTATTTGCAATAAATTACCAATACAATTTAGAAAAAAAAATAAAAAAAAATTATAAGTTTCAAATTACAAAAACTGAAAAAGTAATTTGAAAATTATAATTTTATAAAATAAATTGCTATAAACGTCAAACATTTCGAATAAACGTAATTGTAAATTTGTAGCATACGTAATATATGAAAAAGAGAAAAAAAAAAAAAAAAAAACGAAAAGCTAATGAATATTAATTTAATGAATTGTATAAATCAAAATACAAACAGAATTATAATTATAAAATTATGAATGAAAAAAGAAAAAAATAAATTTATGTGATAATTCTTAATGAAAAGCATCCAAAATGATAAAAGAACTAAAAATTGAAATTAATCATTTATAAAATATAAAACGTAGAACGTTTTCATTCATTTAGTAATTTCTAAAACCAAAAAAAAAAAATTTTTTTGACAAAAAAAACTGATTGATTTGTTGAAATTCTCGATGTTAAAAATTTAATTTATTTGTAATGTTTCAGTTTCAAATCAGTAAAAATTATTGCATTAGATTTAAAATGCTATTATAAAGCGTTATTTAATCAAAAAAAAGAAAAAGCAAAAATTGTTTTTTAATGAGAAAAAAAAATTAACTAAAAAGATGAAATATGATTATGCTCGATATAAAATATTATTGAAATATGATAAAAATAGGTTTAATTTTTGACAATATTTGAATGATAAAATTTATTTTAATCACTGCATGCGATTCAACTTAATACTAAATATTAATAATAGGAGTGATAATTTTTATCAGAATTGAAATTTAAGAAAATTTTTTTATCACACATTATGATTTCCTACACATAAATGTTCATTGATCGTTCCATGCATGACCAAATGAATGATCTATGCTTTCCTTATCACTTATCAATTCCATTATTTCTTTTACGTATGAAAGATACTAAACGTTTTGTAAAGCTAAATTTATCATTCAAATTTCAGTTATTTAAAAAATTTTACTTATATCAGTTATATTACTTATATCAGTACTGGAAATTTCACTTTCCAAATTAGTTTTTTTTTTTTTTATTATCTTACAATGAGTATTATATTATTGCAGTAATATTTTAAACAATTTTACCAATATTGCAAATTTAATAAATACCTATCAAAATATTTAATTATGCTTTTGAATAGTAAATTATGCTTGAAAAAAAAAATGCTTCTCCAATTGATTATTTAATTAAATTACTGTTACTTATCTAAATTACTTATATTAGCAAATTATTTATTTGACAATTTATTTAATTTTATTACGTACTTTTCTCATTCATTTATTTACTTACTTATTTTATTACTCATTTATTTGCTTGCTTACTTTTTCATCCAATATTTTCCTTCTTCTTCTTTTTTTCCTTTACAATTTAACTCATATTTCAACTTTCTTCATTTAAAATTACACTGAAATTGTTTAAAAAAAAAGTGAATCAAATAATAAAATTTCTTTCTCTTTCTTTTTTTTATTTTTTTCTACTTTATTTGCTATTAAGCTTATTTACTCTATTTATTGCTCACCTCTAAAGTAATTTTCAGTATGAATTGAATAAGTTTCGAAGAAAAAGCAAAATTACCAATTCTACTTAAATATATATGTATTCCATTTATTATTAATTTATCATCTATAAATACAAAAGAAAAAAATTGAAAAATTATTAACTTATAAAGTATTAATAATCTTTTGAATTATTTGCAAAGTCTTTAAAGCTTTAATAATTAAAAAAAAAAAAATTTTAAACTTCATAATTTGAAAATAAACTACTAAAAAGAAAAAATTTTAAAGCAAAGCATTCAACATCATTAGGGATAATATTTTGTTTAAATATAAGCAAGTGATAATGATTTGAACTAAAACAACAGGTGACTATTACTACTCCTTCATAATATATATATATCCATCCATCCACATACACATACATAAGCATACAGGCATACACACATACACACATACATACATACAAGAATAGCATTTTTCTTTTTTACAAAGCAATAAAAGTATTTGTCTAACTAAAAACTAAATCTTTAGCATCATCACTAGCAACTCTGAAAATAACATCACATCGACAGCTGAAACAGCAACCTCAAATTTTTTTTTTTTTTTTTGATTGCAATCTGAAACAACAAAAAGATGATATGATAATGATTAATGATGATGATGATGATGATGATAGTGATAGATTGATAATGATAATGAATGTTAACAAGAATGAGATTGAGAATAATTATAATTATTATTGTCAACAATATGATAAAGCAATGAATTTTTCGTTTAAAACATTTATGTGTTTCATCCTTAATTTTGTTAATCTAACATTTTATCGATTTAAGCAAATGTTCAAAAAATTGATTATTAGAGAATTTTATTATTTCTTCTACCATTTTATTCTTCTAAATTCTTCCTTTTACATTCTCTTTTTCTACGCTTTCTTTATCATTCATTCATTTTTAGCATTCTTTTCCATTTACATTTACATTGATGGATTCGAACTAGTAACCTTTAACCTTTAAAGCAGTAATTTCATATGTCAATGAGCTTTATTGTCTTTTACAATATATGTGTTTATTATTATTATTGCTAATTAATTATTATTATAGTGATAATATCATTATTGATGTTGACAATGATTGTGCTTGGCAGCACTATCAGAGAGGAATGAAATGGCTTTGACATGAATGATTATTAAACTCTTCAATAAGTAGACTAAAATTATGATGATATCAGAAAGAAAAGAAAAGAAAGAGAAAGGATAAAAAACAAAACGCAAAAACACAATTTCTTAACAAAATTTCGAGAATAAAAAATATTATTCTTTTCTTGTTTATCACTTAACAATAAGATTCAATTTCGTCGTCGAAATCAATTCTTTTAGCAATGAATTTAACAATTTTCATTCTTTTTTCATTTCTAATAAGCATTTCATTTTTTCTTTTAAAATGAAAAAGAAATATTTATTAAAAATTGCAATAAAAATGTTATCACTAATAATCACACCATTTGACTTAGAAATTTATTAGTTTTTATGATACGTGTAACCATTGTTTACTTATGTAAGTCGTTAAATCTATTAGATATTAATAAACAAATATATGCATATACTTTGAACAAATTTTGGTACAAATTAATGGAAATTTTAATAAAAAATATATTTCTTAAATAATGAATAATCGTTCATTATTAGAATTAACTAATTAATAAACAATAATAATTTCTATAATTATTATTATCATTCTTCACTTTTCCAAAACAAATGCTATGCAAATTTAATTTAGTTTTAAAAAATCAATCACTATTATCATAAGATTTTTATAATTTAGATTTTGGCTTTCAAAAAAAAAAAAAATAATAAACAAAATAATATTATCTGCATATTATGCTAATTATTTTATCATCTAATGTACTGTTTGAATATGTGTTTTTTTATCTTTATACAATATTAAAAAATTAATTTTAAGTCAAAATAAAATGTTGAAAAAAATAAAATTTGTTAAGGTGGAACAAAAATATTTATAAAGTAAAATATACTCCAATATGCAAAGAGAACATTAAACTAATATATTTTACAAAAAACATCAAACATTACTTTAAAAAAAGCTTCTTTGACAATAACAACATCAATAAAAAAAGTCGAAATGACATTAATCATCAATAAAAAAAAAAAAAGAAATTTTTTTCTCTCAACTTTTGCTTCTTTGGTTAAAAAATTTAATTGGAAAAAGAAGGTAAAAAAAAAAGCAAAATTGAAGTTAATGAAATGTTTTGAATTACTTCTTAACAGGTTTATAGATTTTTAACTGTACAAAAAGAAAGTTTTTTTTTTTTTTTGATGGATGAACCAACAACCAATAATCCTAAACAAAAATAAATAATTTCTGAATCAAAAAAAAAATTTTTTAAATTAAAATTTAATAATTAACAAAATGAAAAATTTTTAGCTTATTTAAAATTCATTATTTTGTTCGAATTCAATTAATTTAATAGTTATAAAGTGGAAAATACAGCTGCAAAATAAATCAACAGGAAAAAAATGCACAGAAAAAGGACCAAATAATAAGTTATTTTTGAAAAATATAAATGTGGAAAAATATATTCGAATACTTAATTATTTTATTAATCAACTAATTTAATCATTTTAATGAGAAAAAAAAGTTAGTAAATAATTAGAATTAAAAACTGGTAACATCATTTACTGATTTATGGCAATTATGTATTTTAGTATAATCTAAAATATAATTTCATATAATATCTAAAAAAAAAAAAAGCATAAGAAATATGATATTTGAAATATATTCTGGGACAGATAAATGATCAATTTTTGAAAAGTTTTCATTTTCGCTATTTTTTTTTTCTTTTTAATGAATAGAATTTACCGTTTAATGAAATCATAAAATTATAAGATTGAATTTTCTATTGGAAATATTTTTTCTTTTTTTTCTTCTTTTGTTTTTTTTTTCGTTTCTTATTTTTTGCTTACTTTTTGCTTTTTTTTTATCAAAAATATTATCAGATAGTAAAATCGATAAAAGAAAAAAGAAAAGAAAACGGTAATGATAAAGTAAATATTAATCCATAATAAATAAATAGTAAATAGTTAAGAAAAAGATGAATTATGTTTAATTCGTCATTAAGTCATTAATTAATTAATTAATAAAATTAATGAATAAGTTGAAGTATACTTCGACAATGCTACATATATTTAATTAACAATATCGTATAATTGTTATTGTAAAAATGATAATATTCAATAATTTATGCAATAATATATTAAAAATGCTAATTAATAAAGACAAAATAACTGGAAAGCTATTAATTAATGCTTAAAAAGCCATTAATTAACAAATTAAGTAGTAGTATAGTTGAAGAAATTCATCTATAATTATCGTAGTGATAAGTGATAGTGATAAGTAATATATGGTTTCATCTGTTTGATAATTATTTATCAATTTAATATTTTTTTCGATAAAACTATTTGATAAATGGTTATCATCTTATCATTTTATCACCTTATCATTATAATATTCTTATCTTGAACTATCAAATAATAACTTAAAAAGACGAAAATTTTAAAGTATAAAATCCTATTGTAATATCGACAAACATTCCATTTCAATTGTGGGATGTCTATGTCTGTGTGTTCAGAAGGCGCAAATGTATAGATGCATGTGTCTGTCTGCATGTCCGTGTATGTGTCTGTGTGTGTCATGTATGTGGTTATGCGTATGTTGAACGTTTCTTCGCGTGTATGTGTGTGTGTGTGTGTGTGTGAATGTGAACGCTTCTCTGCGTCTGTATATGTGTGTGTCTGTGCACCTGCGTGTGCGTGTGCGTGTCTGTGTGTATGTGGAAAGTTTCTCTGACATTCTTCTTTTCACCTGAACCCACCGAAAATTTACAACAAGCAGAAGATTCGAAAGAGCCGCGGTGATGTTTCCCTTGCAGCAATGATGAGAAAACTTAGGACACCTTGGATACTCTGCGTTGTTCGTAGGGTATGTGATAGGAGAGAAATATATTTATGAGCTGTGAGCAACTCGGAGGTGTATGGGGTGGGGTTTGATCGGTTTGGAGGAGGGGGAATGAGGGACAGGGTGGTTCTAATGTTTGTGTTGACATTCCGCTTCATGTATGGTATTGTTCTTTGGACGAATGGAAGTTAAAATAAGGCACAAATAGAAGCAAGCTGGAAACAGAGCTTAGCTGTAGTGGCTTGATTAACATTGATTAATAATACTTGTACACTTTAACCTTTGACTTACATTAGCTTACACTTTGATCTTTAACAAGATGACCTTCGAGAAGAAATAGGAATATTGAGGATAGTGTCGTTCTAAACTAATTTAAAGTTAACTAATTTTAGTTTTCATAATTTTAATAGTAAGCTAACTTTAATTTCCATTAAAAAAAAAGGATAGTAAGTAAAGAACGATTAAACTTAAATTATAGCACTGATTTTGACAGATTCTTATGAAAGTGAAAGACGGCAGAATAATAGATTTGCAGGATAAAAATTGTGAATTTTTGAATCGTTATAGAAGTATAAAATTCCATTTTCTTCAATCAAAGCAAATGATTAAAAACGTGGTAACTGCTCGCTTATACAAGCAAAGAGAAGCAATTATTTTACAAAACCAAACGCAGCTTTTCACTGCTAATTCTAGCACACACACACACACATACACACACACATACATACGTACATACACATACTCACACACACACATATACATACATACACATACTCACACACGCACATACATATACACAAGTATGACTTTGCAATTGTTTTGTCAGTGGAATAGAGAACATTTTCAAATACCAGAAGAGAATGTTTAGTCATTTTAATCATTAATAATTAAAACAACAAAATTTTATTCAATTTTACTACTGCAATGAGCAATAATTGTGATATTTCTGTGCTTCCTCTTAAATTCATCAATTAGACCAACAAATAATACTCAAAATAACTTACCTTAGTAATATGTAACACAATTTGCTGGCATTGGCGCATATACGTTCAATCTGCCAATTCAATATTTCAGACTATTCTCTTCACTTTTAATGCTGTTAAAAAAAATATATAGCATCTTGTATGTGTATCTGTGTCTGTCTGTGCATGTCTCTTTGTCGGCCTATATGTATGTATGTTGCCATAATTAATTACATATATAATCAATTGTAAGATCAGTTTGATATTTTCAATTAATTTCTAAACTAACTTTTTTTTACTATTGAAATCGTTAGTCGAGATTAATTAAAAAACTTTTCTGATAACAGAATTATCAGTTGAAATATTTATACAATATGATAATCTCTTTGCTTATCAATCATTTACATATACTGTCGCATGAAACCTATTTCTATTACTGTTACCTAGTAGATTTAAAAAAAAGAGAAAGAAACAAAATATATCAACTTATAAATAAGATTAATAATAAAGTATGATTATTTTGATATAGCATTTGAAATACTTTAATTAATAAAATATCAATCTCACAACTCCAACATTACATGCTTAAACATTTTTTATTTTAATATTTCCAGTTAAATTAAATGATTTAAAATGTTAGAACACGAATAATCAAGTAATTTAATTAAAAAAAGCATGAATAATAATAATAATTCTTAAAACATGAATAATAACAATTCTTCTTCCATTAACTTGCAAAAAGATGTTAGAGATGTTAGAAATGTCAAAGATGTTAGAAAAATATAATTCATTTAAAAATAAGTATATTTGGAACTTGATTGATAACTTTTATTTGCATTGTAGTTGATCAGCTTACATTCTCTGACATTTTATGGAAAAAAAAATTAATTTTTAAAACTTTTTTGAAGCAAATTTTCAATGTAGGAATTAAATGAATTTGCAATTATAAATTATTATAAATATATTTTAATATTGAAATTAATTTTAGTAACAGTTCTAGATACGAATATCTAAGAAATTTCAACAATTTTTAAGGGTTTTTATAAAACAAATATTAAAAAAAGTTCTAATTTTTCGAAATTCTGTTTTAATTAAGTTCTAAAAATGCTAAAAAAATATAATTCATTTAAAAATAAATATATTTGAAACTTAAATGATTACTTTTATCTGCATTATAGTTGATCTGCTTATATTTTGTCAACGATTTTTGACATTTTATGAAAAAGAAAAGTTTTAAAAATTAACTCTAAAGCAAACTTTCGATGCAGAAATTAATTAAATTTGCAATTACAAATGATTTCAATTATTTTTTAAACACTAAAATTAATTTTAATCACAATTCTAGATAGGGTTATTAAAGAAATTTCCACAATTTTTAAAAGTTTTTATAAATTAAATGTTATAAAAGTTTTATTTTTTCTTAATTCTGTTTCAATTAAATTCTACCAATGCTGGAAAAATATAATTCATTTAAAAATAAATATTTTTTGAACATAATTGATTACTTTTATTTGCATCTTGATTGATCTGCTCACATTTTATCGACTATTTTTAACATTTTATGCAAAAAAAAAGTTTTAAAAATTAACTCTAAAGCGAATTTTCAACGTAGAAATTAATTAAATTTGCAATTATAAATGATTATAAATATTTGATATTGAAATTAATTTTAATCACAGTTTTAGATACGGATATTTAATAAATTTCGACAATTCCTAAGAGAAATATTCAAATGTAATTTTTATTCATTAAAATTTACTCATCGAAAAATTTTTTGCAGGATATTTTTCTTATTTTTGTAATTATAGCAATACTTCCACAGTTTATTTCTTTTTCCACTGTAAAATATAATTTTTGTTACAGTGAAAATGGTAGTTGTTTAGATTAATACTTCAATACTTCGGTTCTGATTTAATGAAGCAGAAAATCACTGAATAAGTTCATGTGGAAATTTTGAGAAAGAAATTGCACTGGGTTTAGAGAAAATAAAAATGTAAAAATCAGATATGTCGTGAGAAAAAAAGAAAACATTTATTGAGAAACATTCATTTCTGGTGCTGGAGCAAATACTTCAATTGTTGTTTTAAATTTTGGAGAAGACTTTGTTTGCTTTTCAGAAGGTCTCTAAACATAGACTGTTGTTGTTGGAGGTACTGCTGAAATGAATGCTGCTTCTGCTGTAGTTGTTGGAGAAGTTGTTGTTGTTGTTGCATAAGTTGTTTGAATTGGATTCTGGCTTGCAAAGTTGTTCAAGGAAATTAGAAATTTGCTGAAGTTCTAGAAGTATTTATACAACAAGTTGTTTTTGATGCTCCATAAGCTGTACTAGAAGTTGTTGTTGTTGGAGGAGCTGCTGAACAAGTGGTTGTTGCTGTTGGTATTGTTGAAGAAGTTGTTGTTGCAGCTTTAGAAGTTGTTGGAGAAGAGCTTGCTGTTTTTGGAATTGTTGCTGGATAGAAGGATGTTGTTGTAGTAGCTGAAGCAGTTGCACTTGATGTTGAAGCTGCTGAAGCAGTTGTTGTCCCTGTTGTTGAAGTTTTGCAGATACATTATGGTGTTGCTGGAGCAGCTGAAGATGTTGTTCGTGTTTCTGAATTTGATTACTAAGATTATGTTGATCTTGATGTCGAGATTGCTCGTGATTTTGTTGCACTTGTTTTTGAAGGTCAAGCGCTTGTTGTTTTAGACTTTAGCTTATATTGGTGCTCAAAGGGAATACATTTTTATATTTTTTCAAATGTTAACCATTTACAGAAGTAATATGACTCATTTGTTTAGTTTTTTTAAATTTTCTTAAAAAAAAAAGAAAAAAAAAAACTTAATTTTACGTAAGGTATTGCTAACATTTTTAAATAACAAAAAGTAAATACAATCGCTTTCTATTAGAACTTTAGATACTACCTGTAGTGCAGTACAAATACTATTTTTAAGGCTTCTAATTTCTTCCTTCACATTTAACTCTATAAAATATCCTTTCTTCCTACATTAATTGGTAAACTTTTTTCTTGAATCACTTATTACTGAAACGATAATAAAATAATTTGATTAATTCCTCGATCTGATCTTTATTGATGTATTCTGCCAACCCTCTTTATCAGTTCTTTCCGCTCATCGCATCATTTTTTCTTTTCCTGGTTCATCTGTTCATTTCATATATACACAATATGTCACATGGCCATGTAATAAATTTCAATTATTTCTGTTTTTTGGTTTTTTTGATTTGATTTTTCGCTTAAATTTACTAATTCTATTCCATTTAAATTATTTCTGTTTTTGGGTTAAATTTATTAATTCTATTCCATTTCAATTGTTTCTGTTTTTGGGTTAAATTTATTAATTCTATTCCATTTCAATTGTTTCTGTTTTTGGGTTAAATTTATTAATTCTATTCCATTTTTCTCCATTTAAATTATTCCCGTGCGACAAATTTCCAGTTTTGGAAAATTTTCATTTCACCATTTGTGAGTGAAAAAACAATGACAAATGTTTTGCTAAACATTTACTTGAAATATATTTTTATTTCAATTATTACCAATACTTTTTTTAATTGTTTAAATAATCAGATATTATTTATTTTGTGCTCAATTAGTAAATATTAAAGATAATATTTTCCCATCATGGCATCAATTACTTATATACACATTTTGAAATGAAATGAAACGAATTATTTCGTATAATTTTCTTCTTTGTGGTAATTAAAATATTTTATTTAATATTTCAGTACAGTAATTAGTATCTTTGTAAAAATAATAACGCTTAAAGTATAAACTATGCAATATTCTCCTATGTACAACTCTATCTTTATGAATTATCAATCATATATCTTTGATTTAATGAAATTTTTCTTGAAATCAAATCAAATTTTTGAAATCATCGACTGATTGTAATTTTTTATGAGATTAAGTGTATGGCACTTTTTTTTGAAGCATATATATAAATTTATGTTTATAGTTGAAATGCATAGCTATTTTTTGAAATATTCGTGGAAAGTCTGAACTAAAATGACTAATTTAAAAAAGGTGTCGCCAATTTCTTTCTGATAGCAACAAAGATAGAAGATTGTTTCGCCTCTTTCATTCTTTTTCTTTGTATCTCAGACCTTTATTTATGAAATGGTTAATACAACTCAATTTCAATGACAATTTTAGTGACGATGTCAGTAATAGGAAGAGAAGTGTAGAGACTACATCGGTTATTCCAACTAACCGATCCGACCCTTAGGATCTTAGAAAAAGAATATGATGGATCCGACTGTACACTACACGATCACAAGTAATAGTATCTTTAGAAGGTACATCAGCGCTCTCTATTAACGCAATATGAAATGATAAAGCATTCTATGACTTAAAACAGTGATAATATCTGGCTGTAAGTAGGGGGAATTACTGTTTATTTGTTTCACTCGTAGTAAGCAAGCAAAGGTAAATTAAGCTGTACCGTTGGATATTTATTATGAGCCTATAAAACAATAAATCAAAGTTAATACGAAATATTTTAGTTGTTGAAAGCAATTTCTGATATTAGAATTTTATTCAAAGCGAGGAATAACTTCGCCATTGGAAAGAATGAGAAATATTGCAATGAAATGATAAAAATAAAAGATAAAAATTTTGTTGAAGCATTGGTACTTTCTCTCATATTAATTAAATTTGAATTAATAATTGAACATTCGAAAATTTTACAATTCACTGGGAGCACTACTAACAACCAAATATTGTCAACTGTTGAAAATTTTTGACAGCTCAAAATATCATTTGCGAATTTCTTTTTCCCACATTTGCTCGATAATTTCGATGTGTCGTGGGCCTACCAATGACTGACTCGTCTGTTCTCCTACTTTATTAGATGGACCGCATCCAAAATGAAGTAATCGTTTAATTGTCTTATTATGCATCTCTTCCACTCTGATGATCAACAGAATCGATATGGCATTGATAAATAATATAATTACAGAACTTAGGATTTCCTGTAATCAAATGACAAATATTTTAATCATAACTAAAAACTATAACGAAAGAAGTTAAATCGAATTTAATAACAATATAATTCATTATACAAAACTTTTTTTGGGTCCTTTGTTTGTTTTGTTTTGATAGAACAATAGCTATTGTTAAACAGAACTAGCCACTATTTACAAAGTAAGACAGTGAACCTCAGCACTGATGTTGAATACTTTACAGAATTATATACGTTTTTTTTTAAATTTAATTGTAATATCCAGCAATTATTTACTTTGAAAATTGCAAAATTCAAGATGTTAGACGGAGGAAAATATATCAGAAATAGCGTTCCAAACCGATTGAGGAAAGAACTTATGATAAACATTATTGTTGCTATAAACATTGTCTTCGACGTTTTCATATTTTCCCAGATTTGATATCGTGATGATAACGTATCAACTGATGCTCGCATTTGAAGACTAAATTAAAAGATAGTATGTGAAAAGAAGATATAACCACTAAGTTACAAATTCATAATTATAAACAAACTTGGAAAAAATCAAATTTGTTACATTATGCAATCTTTCTGCATTCTTTCTTTATTGCTGATTAGGTAACAGTTAAGATTTCAATTCGTAAAAATAATTCTAACATCATTTTTTTCTTGCTGATGAAACGTGTTAAAAGAAGCAACAGTAATATGCCGATTAATACTGGTATTTCCAACACAAATTTCAGATATGGAATAGGGCTGCTGGTGATCGATGAGCAGTAACTTTTATATGTGTTCTGGCTTTTGTAGAGTATCAACACTATACGTCTGATGCTTAATGCTATTTCGAACCACTAAAAAAGAAAGGATTAATTTTTAAAATTCAATTCAATGTCTATTTTGCGATTTCACTTAGTGCTCCATTCCACTGACACATTTTATAATTTTTTTTTGAAATGCAATTCATTTCTTTATATTATCTTATTTAACAAATTAATAGTTTTTCACAGAATTTATGTGTAATTTAACAACTCAGATGGTCACTTTAAAAAGTTAAAAACTTTGCAGATTTCAATATGAATATTTGAAAAAAAAAATACCGTAAGCGGTATAAAAGCAAGGGCAACTGGATATTTCCATTTTTCATAATATTGGTAGCAGCACATAGCAAGAAAACGCTCAATCGTAATCGCAAGAAATGCATATCGAAGGCACCTTAGAGGCGATGATCCAAAACTGCTCAGAATGAAGCATTTAACAGAATCCATCAAAAAGAGACATGGATCCTAAAAATTGTGTGGCTGATATGAGTTTTATCTGATTGATTTCTTGTTTGGAAATTTGTTTACGGAGCTAATTTGTCACAGAATTTTAAAGCAATTGAAGATAGAAGGCATAAATGCAAAATTTGATTCGTTTTAATTTCGAGATAAATGCAACCTTGTAAGCCAACATACGATAGATAAAAGATGAAGATCGAAAAATGGTTACAAACGATCGGAAAAGCAATAAAGCCAGCAAATTTATCAGTAAAATTCTCATATTTATATGAAATATCTGAAAGAACAAGTGAATCAAAATGATCAGTTTGAAATGTTCACGCTGCTGTTTTTTTTCTATTGCATGAAATCTTATTATTGCAGGTAATTCAATGTTAGCTCAAAATTATTGCTGGTTTAATCTTATAAATAATAATTGAAAGCTATAAAATTTTAATCTAATCAAACTGTAACTAATTAAATGTGGGATGAATCACAAATTAATAATGTGCAGAATAATTCACACATCATTCTGCCAAATTAAGATTACAGTTTAAATTTTTAGTGCCACAATTAAAAAAATGAGCCAATTGCAATCTAATTAGTTACAATGTAAAAATAAACTTTGTGTAAAAGTTTGACCTTTTTTGTGATCATATTGACAGAAATATATAGCATAAGAATAATTCCTGTAGTAGTGAAAAGGACGAAAAAAAACTGAATCGATTGGAAAAGAAAATTCGTTTGTAAATGGTATGCTTCAGCACAATATTCTCCATATGTTCTATTCATTTTCTGCAAAACCAAAACGTATCTTTATGAAGTGAGCAAAATTTGAAACACTGAAAGAAACAGAATCGTACAGGTAAATAAAGGTAAGCATTTGCAGCGCGTTGGAATGATTTTCAGATTCTGAAGTTGCATAGAATACAGTATTACAGAGGGTAAAAGCATAAAAACAAGCAAATAACGTTTTTGTTGAATTTATTGTGTTATTTAAGCAAAATCGTATATTGTCAAAAATTCATAAATTCGAAAGACTACCAGCAAACTATTTGACTATAAAAGGAACTTTTTGAAAAAATGATCAATTTCTCTTTAATTTTGTATATTAAAATTCCAAGTCAAATAGATTATCAGGGAAACTGAGTTGTTTAAAACGACATTTCTTACTTCAGTGTCACGTTATTAAGTGAGTATTGTTTATGGGATTGAAAAAAAAAAAATTAATTACCTCAACTATCAAATTAGAAGTTCAGCGATAGGGATTAAAAATTTAATTACCTAAATTATCAAATTAGAAGCTAATTTTTAATAAGCATGAAAGAGAAACTACATGGATGTTTTTGATATGGTTGCCACAGAAACATATGCTTTCAACGATATTAAAGGCATGGTAAGTGATAAGAGCGTTAA